TAATATAGAATGTTGAAGAAAATAAACTCGTTCTTGCAAACAAAGTTTTCTCAGCTGAGCAGTTTGGTATAAAACGAAGTTATAAAGATTTGACAGAAAATTATTTCCGTTCTGTTACTCAATTAGTAAACTTTTCAAAATCTGAGGAGGCTGCAAATATTATTAATACATGGGTTGAACAAACTACAAATAATCTCATTAAAAACCTCATTTCTCCTGGTTTGTAAATTTTTTTTTATTTAAATATAAAGCAATTATTGTAAAAAATAGGGAATAACTGAAAACTATAACTTCTTGTATTTATGTTTTGTATATTCTAATTCGTAGTTAGTAAGGATATTTAGAAATACATTAATTAACTTCAAATTTACTAATGAGAGTTTTTTTAAATAGGGGATGTAGATAGCACGACATCACTTGTACTTGTTAATGCAGTATATTTTAAGGGTCAGTGGAAAAATAAGTTTAACCCTCGTTTGACTCACGATATGCCATTCCACATTAATAAGAATACAGTAAAAAATATTCCCACAATGTATAGACAAGGTACCTACAACTATGGTGAAATCCCAGACATGAATGCCAAATTTATTGAAATACCATACAAGGTAATTTTCAATAAAGAAGACTACAAGGAAAAGTGTATAAATCTTAAAAATAACCATACAATTTTTTTAGGGAGATGAATTAAGTATAGTCATAATTCTTCCAAATGAAATTGATGGTTTAGCTGCAGTTGAAAAAAAATTAGAAAATTCAAGCATATCCGAAATTTTAAGACATGGATTTAGTCGTGATGTAAATTTATATTTACCAAAGTTTAAAGTGGAAAGTACAATACCTCTGAATAGCATTTTACAAAAGGTATGATGTATGATATGTGATTACATAAAAATTCATGCAGTTTTTATTTCAATCTTTACTTTCCTCAGATGGGTTTAACTGATGCATTTACGACACGTGCTAACTTTTCTGGTATTGCCGACGCTAGATTACTTATTTCGAAGGTTATACAAAAGGCATTTATTGAAGTAAATGAAGAAGGTAGCGAAGCTGCAGCTGCTACTGGTAAGTTACGAAATGTTCTATTTTGCACAAGTTATGTTGAAATTCAGCAAATTATTGCTCTAAATATAAAAGCATTGTATACGGAAGTATTAAAAAACGCAATCTAATATGATTAAAATTTATAAATCAGAGTCTTTCAATTCACTCACATGATTCAAAGAAATGTTAAAACTCCTTTTTAGAAAGCATTAAATAATTTAAAACTGTAAGAATTA